CTACTTAGTAAGGCTAGCAGTAGGTTGTATATTTTGAGAATATGTAAATATTATGGCTACCCTATTGAGAATTTGGACTTACTTTTTCAAAGTTTGATTCTTTCAGTTTTTACATATGCTATTGAGGTCTGGGGGTGTGCTTTTTATAGTAAATATTTAAGTAGAATTGATAAGCTCTTTGCCAGGTGTTATAAGCTGGGTTACTGCTTAAAGCAACACAGTATCTTGGATATCCGTTGTAATAGAGATAAGAAATTATGGCAAAGGATCTCTTCCACCAACACTGCGTTGAGCGATCTCTTACCTCCCCAAAGAACACGGCAGTTGAGAACTAGGTCGCATAATTATATTTCGCCTAAGGTCCAGACAAGCCATTTTAAATCAGTTTTTATTAATAGATGTCTTTTCAATAGTAATTAATACCTTTTCTTTTTCCTTATTCATTTTATTCATGTTATTCATGTTAATTGTAGCACGTCTGATTGCACAATAATTCTTAATAAAGACCTTTATTATTATTATTATTATCATTATTACTACTCAGTCTATATATACTGCGTGAAATATATGAGTAGAAATGTTCAATTTGTGATTTTGATTTGAAAAGTGTTTTTCCATTTTATCGAGCCAGGCGGGAATAAAATAAGTGGATATGAATTGAACTCGACAGTATTTTGCTGACGATGAAAACATAATTTAAAAAAACCTTCCAGTGGTTAGGTGTCATTTGCACCACTTGTTATATTCATTCGTCGCAATAGCCTTCCTGAATTCTAACTAAATTACGAAGTTTAATATAGGCAGAAATTATTTGACTTTTGAAGAAATTAGTTCTTAGAGTTATCTTTGGGTAGTTAGATTAACTCTATGAATAATAAACATAAGGTAAATCCGAGATTTCTTTCACAAAACCATCAAAAACCTTCCTCTGTTACAAATCTCTTTTTCTGATTTTCTGACCTACCCTAAACTATCAGCTACAATGTACAACAAATACGAGTTTTGACCAAATTCAACAACCTGGTACATCTACAAAAGAATTTCGAATGGTCCACAGAAGAAGAAAACAGTCTCAGATCACTTTCCATGGTCCTCGATCAGTGTCCATTGGCTTTAAAATTCTTGAAAGATATTAATGTCAATAAGTAATACAAAGAACAGCCTCCACACATTTGGAAAACAACAACAACAACAACAACAACAACATTTATTTATTTATACCAACAAGAAGGTAAAAGTAATACATGGATTTTGAAACTTAAGAGTAAGGTATTAGCTGCCTATAATAACCATAAGGGCTAAGAAAATTAGACAGCTATCTATGAAATACAAATTAGAAAACATTACGGTCATGTGTATTAATGAAGTAAAAGTAACTTAGGAATAGAGATATAAGACAAAGTTACAAGCTAACATTACACGGGGGCAAGAACAGAGAGAAAAAAAAACAATGATATTTACAACATAAGAATAGTGACAAGCAATAGATAAAGCTAGTTACAATGCAATATAGATTACTTATTGAAAGTAAAAAGAAGTTACTGCGAATCAATATAATTGTATAATCTCTCTTTTTAAGGTTGTCCTAAAAGATAGCCTGTGGAGAGATTTAGTTTCTTCGCTTATTGAATTCCAAATTTTTGCACCTTGAAATTTTATACTGAATTTACCATAATTTTTCCTTATTGGAGGAAGAGCATAGGAAGACCTGGAAGCAAGTCTTGTATTGTACTTGTGCCGTTTATTGATAGCCCAGTGTGAAATAATTAGGGAAGGCTGGTGGCAGGGTGCCAGAATGGAAATCGTACATAAATATTGCATTATGTAGGAAGACGATATCCTCGAATTTGATTATTTCAAGAGCCTTGAAAAGGGGGTTAGAGTGATCATTGTAGTACGAAAAAGTAATAATTCTCATAACTTTTTTTGTAGAGTGGTAATTGGGGTCAAAGTAGATTTGTAAGTGTTCCCCCACGCAGTGATTCCATATATCAAAAATGGATATATGAGAGAATAATATAAGTTTATAAGAGTTTTGAGATTGACACAGTGGCGAATTTTAGATAAAATGCCAATATTTCTTTTTATTAATTTTCTTTGAGATATAACTTACCTAAGATTTCCACTTTAAATGTGAAGCTATCATTATACCTAAATATTTAATAGAATTTTCATGTATTAGTGTTTGATTGTTTATTTTTAGATTAACTGAATAGTTGAGTCATTTCTGAGGTGGGCGAAAGATAACATAATTAGACTTTTCAATATGTCGAGAGTGTTTATTGGCACAAAGCCAGTTGAATACTCCTAGTAGTTCATTGTTTACAGTTGTTTCCAGTTGAAGTAAACTCTTGTGAGCGTAAAAAAGATTAGAATCATCAGCAAATAAGTGGAAATCAAGCTGGTTAGAAGAATTATTGAAATCATTAATATAGAGCAAGAAAAGAAGTGGTCCAAGTGCCGAACCTTGTGGAACTCCACAAGAGATTTTTTTGCAATCTGACAGGGCATTGCCAATTGACACAAATTGTTTTCGTTCGTTAAGGTAGGAACAAAACCACTTTTCAACAATCCCTTCAAGCCATAGTGATCTAATTTCGTGATTAAAATATTATGATTTACGGTATCAAAAGCCTTACTAAAATCTAGAAATATCCCACAAGAAAAGGTGCCTTGGTCAACAGCTTTTAGTATCTTATTTATAATTGATAGAAGAGCTTGAGTAGTGGAATATTTTTTACGAAAACCAAATTGTTTGGTATATAAAATATTATGAGTTTCAATGAACTTCATTCATCTCATAAATATTAATTTTTCTAGTATTAAGTTGAAAATGGATAAAAGTGAAATGGGACGACAATTTCTAAGGCTGGTATGCAGGCCTTTCTTATAGGTATAACTTTGGCAATCTTAAAATTATCAGGAACCATACCAGTAGAAAAAGAGACCTTAAATATAGTTTCTAGTGGTTTAGATAAAAAGCATTTCAAAAGCTTCAGCAGTTTTATTGGAATGCTAAATGGGCCACAAGCTTTTTTTACATTGAGGGTGGAAATTACTTCTTCAATTTCATTAGATGTAATTGGTAGAAGATAATAGCTGTTGGGTTTCTGCGGGGGTAAGTAGGAAAGTGGTGATATAGTAACTGATGGGATAGAATTGGCTAGTTTACTACCGATGTTAGCAATGAAGTC